CAGAATTGTGTTAGGAGCACGTTTCAGGCCACGGGGAGTCCATAGAACCTGATTGTGGGTGAAGTTTTCGGGGGTTGGAGCTTTGGGGCAGGATATAGGGATATGTGCCACTTTTGACATGCCGGTTCATTGCCTTTCCCATCGATGAACCGGGCTGAGATTTGGTCTACCCCCCATTTTCGGGTATGCTGAATCTAGAAATAGTAATGAACCAGCGATCGGACATTCCTATCAAAAGTTATGGCGAAGTGAAAATTTCCCATTGAAAATGAATGGGAGCGGAAAATGGCCAAAGTCAGTGTTTGCAAGTGTTGTACTTGTCTGGAACTGTTGAAAATGCATTGTGAGCACGTTTCAGGCCATTTCCTGTCATTTGAGGGCGACTTTGCAAAAAGGGGTGTCATACCGCTTTTGACCAGAGGTGGTGCTGCACATGTCCGACGGTTAGGGTTAGGGTGAGACTTTGGGCAAGGGGTTAGGGTTAGGGGGTTAGGGCTGGAGCTAGGGTTAGGGTTAGGGTTGGAGCTAGGGTTAGGGTTAGGGTTGGAGCTAGGGTTAGGGTTAGGGTTAGGAAAATGTGAAGATTTTCCCAAAATCTGAAGATTTTCCTAAGTGCGGACCCAATTTTTCACCTTCCAGAATTGTGTTAGGAGCACGTTTCAGGCCACGGGGAGTCCATAGAACCTGATTGTGGGTGAAGTTTTCGGGGGTTGGAGCTTTGGGGCAGGATATAGGGATATGTGCCACTTTTGACATGCCGGTTCATTGCCTTTCCCATTGATGAACCGGGCTGAGATTTGGTCTACCCCCCCATTTTCGGGTATGCTGAATCTAGAAATAGTAATGAACCAGCGATCGGACATTCCTATCAAAAGTTATGGCGAAGTGAAAATTTCCCATTGAAAATGAATGGGAGCGGAAAATGGCCAAAGTCAGTGTTTGCAAGTGTTGTACTTGTCTGGAACTGTTGAAAATGCATTGTGAGCACGTTTCAGGCCATTTCCTGTCATTTGAGGGCGACTTTGCAAAAAGGGGTGTCATACCGCTTTTGACCAGAGGTGGTGCTGCACATGTCCGACGGTTAGGGTTAGGGTGAGACTTTGGGCAAGGGGTTAGGGTTAGGGTGGAGCTAGGTTAGGGTTGTTGGAGCTAGGGTTAGGGTTAGGGTTGGAGCTAGGGTTAGGGTTAGGGTTGGAGCTAGGGTTAGGGTTAGGGTTAGGAAAATGTGAAGATTTTCCCAAAATCTGAAGATTTTCCTAAGTGCGGACCCAATTTTTCACCTTCCAGAATTGTGTTAGGAGCACGTTTCAGGCCACGGGGAGTCCATAGAACCTGATTGTGGGTGAAGTTTTCGGGGGTTGGAGCTTTGGGGCAGGATATAGGGATATGTGCCACTTTTGACATGGCGGTTCATTGCCTTTCCCATCGATGAACCGGGCTGAGATTTGGTCTACCCCCCATTTTCGGGTATGCTGAATCTAGAAATAGTAATGAACCAGCGATCGGACATTCCTATCAAAAGTTATGGCGAAGTGAAAATTTCCCATTGAAAATGAATGGGAGCGGAAAATGGCCAAAGTCAGTGTTTGCAAGTGTTGTACTTGTCTGGAACTGTTGAAAATGCATTGTGAGCACGTTTCAGGCCATTTCCTGTCATTTGAGGGCGACTTTGCAAAAAGGGGTGTCATACCGCTTTTGACCAGAGGTGGTGCTGCACATGTCCGACGGTTAGGGTTAGGGTGAGACTTTGGGCAAGGGGTTAGGGTTAGGGTGGAGCTAGGGTTAGGGTTAGGGTTGGAGCTAGGGTTAGGGTTAGGGTTGGAGCTAGGGTTAGGGTTAGGGTTAGGAAAATGTGAAGATTTTCCCAAAATCTGAAGATTTTCCTAAGTGCGGACCCAATTTTTCACCTTCCAGAATTGTGTTAGGAGCACGTTTCAGGCCACGGGGAGTCCATAGAACCTGATTGTGGGTGAAGTTTTCGGGGGTTGGAGCTTTGGGGCAGGATATAGGGATATGTGCCACTTTTGACATGCCGGTTCATTGCCTTTCCCATCGATGAACCGGGCTGAGATTTGGTCTACCCCCCATTTTCGGGTATGCTGAATCTAGAAATAGTAATGAACCAGCGATCGGACATTCCTATCAAAAGTTATGGCGAAGTGAAAATTTCCCATTGAAAATGAATGGGAGCGGAAAATGGCCAAAGTCAGTGTTTGCAAGTGTTGTACTTGTCTGGAACTGTTGAAAATGCATTGTGAGCACGTTTCAGGCCATTTCCTGTCATTTGAGGGCGACTTTGCAAAAAGGGGTGTCATACCGCTTTTGACCAGAGGTGGTGCTGCACATGTCCGACGGTTAGGGTTAGGGTGAGACTTTGGGCAAGGGGTTAGGGTTAGGGCTGGAGCTAGGTTAGGGTTAGGTGGAGCTAGGGTTAGGGTTAGGGTTGGAGCTAGGGTTAGGGTTAGGGTTGGAGCTAGGGTTAGGGTTAGGGTTAGGAAAATGTGAAGATTTTCCCAAAATCTGAAGATTTTCCTAAGTGCGGACCCAATTTTTCACCTTCCAGAATTGTGTTAGGAGCACGTTTCAGGCCACGGGGAGTCCATAGAACCTGATTGTGGGTGAAGTTTTCGGGGGTTGGAGCTTTGGGGCAGGATATAGGGATATGTGCCACTTTTGACATGCCGGTTCATTGCCTTTCCCATCGATGAACCGGGCTGAGATTTGGTCTACCCCCCATTTTCGGGTATGCTGAATCTAGAAATAGTAATGAACCAGCGATCGGACATTCCTATCAAAAGTTATGGCGAAGTGAAAATTTCCCATTGAAAATGAATGGGAGCGGAAAATGGCCAAAGTCAGTGTTTGCAAGTGTTGTACTTGTCTGGAACTGTTGAAAATGCATTGTGAGCACGTTTCAGGCCATTTCCTGTCATTTGAGGGCGACTTTGCAAAAAGGGGTGTCATACCGCTTTTGACCAGAGGTGGTGCTGCACATGTCCGACGGTTAGGGTTAGGGTGAGACTTTGGGCAAGGGGTTAGGGTTAGGGCTGGAGCTGGAGCTAGGGTTAGGGTTAGGGTTGGAGCTAGGGTTAGGGTTAGGGTTGGAGCTAGGGTTAGGGTTAGGGTTAGGAAAATGTGAAGATTTTCCCAAAATCTGAAGATTTTCCTAAGTGCGGACCCAATTTTTCACCTTCCAGAATTGTGTTAGGAGCACGTTTCAGGCCACGGGGAGTCCATAGAACCTGATTGTGGGTGAAGTTTTCGGGGGTTGGAGCTTTGGGGCAGGATATAGGGATATGTGCCACTTTTGACATGCCGGTTCATTGCCTTTCCCATTGATGAACCGGGCTGAGATTTGGTCTACCCCCCATTTTCGGGTATGCTGAATCTAGAAATAGTAATGAACCAGCGATCGGACATTCCTATCAAAAGTTATGGCGAAGTGAAAATTTCCCATTGAAAATGAATGGGAGCGGAAAATGGCCAAAGTCAGTGTTTGCAAGTGTTGTACTTGTCTGGAACTGTTGAAAATGCATTGTGAGCACGTTTCAGGCCATTTCCTGTCATTTGAGGGCGACTTTGCAAAAAGGGGTGTCATACCGCTTTTGACCAGAGGTGGTGCTGCACATGTCCGACGGTTAGGGTTAGGGTGAGACTTTGGGCAAGGGGTTAGGGTTAGGGCTGGAGCTAGGTTAGGGGGTGGAGCTAGGGTTAGGGTTGGAGCTAGGGTTAGGGTTAGGGTTGGAGCTAGGGTTAGGGTTAGGGTTAGGAAAATGTGAAGATTTTCCCAAAATCTGAAGATTTTCCTAAGTGCGGACCCAATTTTTCACCTTCCAGAATTGTGTTAGGAGCACGTTTCAGGCCACGGGGAGTCCATAGAACCTGATTGTGGGTGAAGTTTTCGGGGGTTGGAGCTTTGGGGCAGGATATAGGGATATGTGCCACTTTTGACATGCCGGTTCATTGCCTTTCCCATCGATGAACCGGGCTGAGATTTGGTCTACCCCCCATTTTCGGGTATGCTGAATCTAGAAATAGTAATGAACCAGCGATCGGACATTCCTATCAAAAGTTATGGCGAAGTGAAAATTTCCCATTGAAAATGAATGGGAGCGGAAAATGGCCAAAGTCAGTGTTTGCAAGTGTTGTACTTGTCTGGAACTGTTGAAAATGCATTGTGAGCACGTTTCAGGCCATTTCCTGTCATTTGAGGGCGACTTTGCAAAAAGGGGTGTCATACCGCTTTTGACCAGAGGTGGTGCTGCACATGTCCGACGGTTAGGGTTAGGGTGAGACTTTGGGCAAGGGGTTAGGGTTAGGGCTGGAGCTAGGTTAGGGTTAGTTGGAGCTAGGGTTAGGGTTAGGGTTGGAGCTAGGGTTAGGGTTAGGGTTGGAGCTAGGGTTAGGGTTAGGGTTAGGAAAATGTGAAGATTTTCCCAAAATCTGAAGATTTTCCTAAGTGCGGACCCAATTTTTCACCTTCCAGAATTGTGTTAGGAGCACGTTTCAGGCCACGGGGAGTCCATAGAACCTGATTGTGGGTGAAGTTTTCGGGGGTTGGAGCTTTGGGGCAGGATATAGGGATATGTGCCACTTTTGACATGGCGGTTCATTGCCTTTCCCATCGATGAACCGGGCTGAGATTTGGTCTACCCCCCCATTTTCGGGTATGCTGAATCTAGAAATAGTAATGAACCAGCGATCGGACATTCCTATCAAAAGTTATGGCGAAGTGAAAATTTCCCATTGAAAATGAATGGGAGCGGAAAATGGCCAAAGTCAGTGTTTGCAAGTGTTGTACTTGTCTGGAACTGTTGAAAATGCATTGTGAGCACGTTTCAGGCCATTTCCTGTCATTTGAGGGCGACTTTGCAAAAAGGGGTGTCATACCGCTTTTGACCAGAGGTGGTGCTGCACATGTCCGACGGTTAGGGTTAGGGTGAGACTTTGGGCAAGGGGTTAGGGTGGGGTTAGGGTTGGAGCTAGGGTTAGGGTTAGGGTTGGAGCTAGGGTTAGGGTTAGGGTTGGAGCTAGGGTTAGGGTTAGGGTTAGGAAAATGTGAAGATTTTCCCAAAATCTGAAGATTTTCCTAAGTGCGGACCCAATTTTTCACCTTCCAGAATTGTGTTAGGAGCACGTTTCAGGCCACGGGGAGTCCATAGAACCTGATTGTGGGTGAAGTTTTCGGGGGTTGGAGCTTTGGGGCAGGATATAGGGATATGTGCCACTTTTGACATGGCGGTTCATTGCCTTTCCCATTGATGAACCGGGCTGAGATTTGGTCTACCCCCCATTTTCGGGTATGCTGAATCTAGAAATAGTAATGAACCAGCGATCGGACATTCCTATCAAAAGTTATGGCGAAGTGAAAATTTCCCATTGAAAATGAATGGGAGCGGAAAATGGCCAAAGTCAGTGTTTGCAAGTGTTGTACTTGTCTGGAACTGTTGAAAATGCATTGTGAGCACGTTTCAGGCCATTTCCTGTCATTTGAGGGCGACTTTGCAAAAAGGGGTGTCATACCGCTTTTGACCAGAGGTGGTGCTGCACATGTCCGACGGTTAGGGTTAGGGTGAGACTTTGGGCAAGGGGTTAGGGTTAGGGTTAGGGTTAGGGTGGAGCTAGGGTTAGGGTTAGGGTTGGAGCTAGGGTTAGGGTTAGGGTTGGAGCTAGGGTTAGGGTTAGGGTTAGGAAAATGTGAAGATTTTCCCAAAATCTGAAGATTTTCCTAAGTGCGGACCCAATTTTTCACCTTCCAGAATTGTGTTAGGAGCACGTTTCAGGCCACGGGGAGTCCATAGAACCTGATTGTGGGTGAAGTTTTCGGGGGTTGGAGCTTTGGGGCAGGATATAGGGATATGTGCCACTTTTGACATGGCGGTTCATTGCCTTTCCCATTGATGAACCGGGCTGAGATTTGGTCTACCCCCCATTTTCGGGTATGCTGAATCTAGAAATAGTAATGAACCAGCGATCGGACATTCCTATCAAAAGTTATGGCGAAGTGAAAATTTCCCATTGAAAATGAATGGGAGCGGAAAATGGCCAAAGTCAGTGTTTGCAAGTGTTGTACTTGTCTGGAACTGTTGAAAATGCATTGTGAGCACGTTTCAGGCCATTTCCTGTCATTTGAGGGCGACTTTGCAAAAAGGGGTGTCATACCGCTTTTGACCAGAGGTGGTGCTGCACATGTCCGACGGTTAGGGTTAGGGTGAGACTTTGGGCAAGGGGTTAGGGTTAGGGCTGGAGCTAGGGTTAGGGTTAGGGTTGGAGCTAGGGTTAGGGTTAGGGTTGGAGCTAGGGTTAGGGTTAGGGTTAGGAAAATGTGAAGATTTTCCCAAAATCTGAAGATTTTCCTAAGTGCGGACCCAATTTTTCACCTTCCAGAATTGTGTTAGGAGCACGTTTCAGGCCACGGGGAGTCCATAGAACCTGATTGTGGGTGAAGTTTTCGGGGGTTGGAGCTTTGGGGCAGGATATAGGGATATGTGCCACTTTTGACATGGCGGTTCATTGCCTTTCCCATTGATGAACCGGGCTGAGATTTGGTCTACCCCCCATTTTCGGGTATGCTGAATCTAGAAATAGTAATGAACCAGCGATCGGACATTCCTATCAAAAGTTATGGCGAAGTGAAAATTTCCCATTGAAAATGAATGGGAGCGGAAAATGGCCAAAGTCAGTGTTTGCAAGTGTTGTACTTGTCTGGAACTGTTGAAAATGCATTGTGAGCACGTTTCAGGCCATTTCCTGTCATTTGAGGGCGACTTTGCAAAAAGGGGTGTCATACCGCTTTTGACCAGAGGTGGTGCTGCACATGTCCGACGGTTAGGGTTAGGGTGAGACTTTGGGCAAGGGGTTAGGGTTAGGGCTGGAGCTAGGGTTAGGGTTAGGGTTGGAGCTAGGGTTAGGGTTAGGGTTGGAGCTAGGGTTAGGGTTAGGGTTAGGAAAATGTGAAGATTTTCCCAAAATCTGAAGATTTTCCTAAGTGCGGACCCAATTTTTCACCTTCCAGAATTGTGTTAGGAGCACGTTTCAGGCCACGGGGAGTCCATAGAACCTGATTGTGGGTGAAGTTTTCGGGGGTTGGAGCTTTGGGGCAGGATATAGGGATATGTGCCACTTTTGACATGGCGGTTCATTGCCTTTCCCATTGATGAACCGGGCTGAGATTTGGTCTACCCCCCATTTTCGGGTATGCTGAATCTAGAAATAGTAATGAACCAGCGATCGGACATTCCTATCAAAAGTTATGGCGAAGTGAAAATTTCCCATTGAAAATGAATGGGAGCGGAAAATGGCCAAAGTCAGTGTTTGCAAGTGTTGTACTTGTCTGGAACTGTTGAAAATGCATTGTGAGCACGTTTCAGGCCATTTCCTGTCATTTGAGGGCGACTTTGCAAAAAGGGGTGTCATACCGCTTTTGACCAGAGGTGGTGCTGCACATGTCCGACGGTTAGGGTTAGGGTGAGACTTTGGGCAAGGGTTAGGGTTAGGGTTAGGGCTGGAGCTAGGGTTAGGGTTAGGGTTGGAGCTAGGGTTAGGGTTAGGGTTGGAGCTAGGGTTAGGGTTAGGGTTAGGAAAATGTGAAGATTTTCCCAAAATCTGAAGATTTTCCTAAGTGCGGACCCAATTTTTCACCTTCCAGAATTGTGTTAGGAGCACGTTTCAGGCCACGGGGAGTCCATAGAACCTGATTGTGGGTGAAGTTTTCGGGGGTTGGAGCTTTGGGGCAGGATATAGGGATATGTGCCACTTTTGACATGGCGGTTCATTGCCTTTCCCATTGATGAACCGGGCTGAGATTTGGTCTACCCCCCATTTTCGGGTATGCTGAATCTAGAAATAGTAATGAACCAGCGATCGGACATTCCTATCAAAAGTTATGGCGAAGTGAAAATTTCCCATTGAAAATGAATGGGAGCGGAAAATGGCCAAAGTCAGTGTTTGCAAGTGTTGTACTTGTCTGGAACTGTTGAAAATGCATTGTGAGCACGTTTCAGGCCATTTCCTGTCATTTGAGGGCGACTTTGCAAAAAGGGGTGTCATACCGCTTTTGACCAGAGGTGGTGCTGCACATGTCCGACGGTTAGGGTTAGGGTGAGACTTTGGGCAAGGGGTTAGGGTTAGGGCTGGAGCTAGGGTTAGGGTTAGGGTTGGAGCTAGGGTTAGGGTTAGGGTTGGAGCTAGGGTTAGGGTTAGGGTTAGGAAAATGTGAAGATTTTCCCAAAATCTGAAGATTTTCCTAAGTGCGGACCCAATTTTTCACCTTCCAGAATTGTGTTAGGAGCACGTTTCAGGCCACGGGGAGTCCATAGAACCTGATTGTGGGTGAAGTTTTCGGGGGTTGGAGCTTTGGGGCAGGATATAGGGATATGTGCCACTTTTGACATGGCGGTTCATTGCCTTTCCCATTGATGAACCGGGCTGAGATTTGGTCTACCCCCCCATTTTCGGGTATGCTGAATCTAGAAATAGTAATGAACCAGCGATCGGACATTCCTATCAAAAGTTATGGCGAAGTGAAAATTTCCCATTGAAAATGAATGGGAGCGGAAAATGGCCAAAGTCAGTGTTTGCAAGTGTTGTACTTGTCTGGAACTGTTGAAAATGCATTGTGAGCACGTTTCAGGCCATTTCCTGTCATTTGAGGGCGACTTTGCAAAAAGGGGTGTCATACCGCTTTTGACCAGAGGTGGTGCTGCACATGTCCGACGGTTAGGGTTAGGGTGAGACTTTGGGCAAGGGGTTAGGGTTAGGGTGGAGCTAGGGTTAGGGTTAGGGTTGGAGCTAGGGTTAGGGTTAGGGTTGGAGCTAGGGTTAGGGTTAGGGTTAGGAAAATGTGAAGATTTTCCCAAAATCTGAAGATTTTCCTAAGTGCGGACCCAATTTTTCACCTTCCAGAATTGTGTTAGGAGCACGTTTCAGGCCACGGGGAGTCCATAGAACCTGATTGTGGGTGAAGTTTTCGGGGGTTGGAGCTTTGGGGCAGGATATAGGGATATGTGCCACTTTTGACATGGCGGTTCATTGCCTTTCCCATTGATGAACCGGGCTGAGATTTGGTCTACCCCCCATTTTCGGGTATGCTGAATCTAGAAATAGTAATGAACCAGCGATCGGACATTCCTATCAAAAGTTATGGCGAAGTGAAAATTTCCCATTGAAAATGAATGGGAGCGGAAAATGGCCAAAGTCAGTGTTTGCAAGTGTTGTACTTGTCTGGAACTGTTGAAAATGCATTGTGAGCACGTTTCAGGCCATTTCCTGTCATTTGAGGGCGACTTTGCAAAAAGGGGTGTCATACCGCTTTTGACCAGAGGTGGTGCTGCACATGTCCGACGGTTAGGGTTAGGGTGAGACTTTGGGCAAGGGGTTAGGGTTAGGGCTGGAGCTAGGGTTAGGGTTAGGGTTGGAGCTAGGGTTAGGGTTAGGGTTGGAGCTAGGGTTAGGGTTAGGGTTAGGAAAATGTGAAGATTTTCCCAAAATCTGAAGATTTTCCTAAGTGCGGACCCAATTTTTCACCTTCCAGAATTGTGTTAGGAGCACGTTTCAGGCCACGGGGAGTCCATAGAACCTGATTGTGGGTGAAGTTTTCGGGGGTTGGAGCTTTGGGGCAGGATATAGGGATATGTGCCACTTTTGACATGGCGGTTCATTGCCTTTCCCATTGATGAACCGGGCTGAGATTTGGTCTACCCCCCCATTTTCGGGTATGCTGAATCTAGAAATAGTAATGAACCAGCGATCGGACATTCCTATCAAAAGTTATGGCGAAGTGAAAATTTCCCATTGAAAATGAATGGGAGCGGAAAATGGCCAAAGTCAGTGTTTGCAAGTGTTGTACTTGTCTGGAACTGTTGAAAATGCATTGTGAGCACGTTTCAGGCCATTTCCTGTCATTTGAGGGCGACTTTGCAAAAAGGGGTGTCATACCGCTTTTGACCAGAGGTGGTGCTGCACATGTCCGACGGTTAGGGTTAGGGTGAGACTTTGGGCA